TTTTTTTTTTTAATGAAAACAGCCTTGTGCTAGGATAAAAAATTGAGACTATTTACAAAGTGCAGAAATTCAGATCAGTTTTGTAAATCCAACCCCAACTCAATGCTTTTAATCATTCTCTGAAAGATAATTTCATCATAACTGGGAAAGAATCTTTCTTTTACTGTACAAATAAGGAAATACTTAGAGTTCTGCTTTTAAAATTGAGTTGCAGAATTAATTGTAAAACTTAAAGAAAGATATAACTTAATGGTTTGTTTGGCTCGATCTTGTTTTTTAATTTATTCTGGACCCTAACGTGGTATCTAGTTTTGACACTGCGGGACAATTCATCTTCTAATCTGACACACAGTGTTAAAGACTGTTCTTCCATGTTTCTTTCTGTTAGAATGTGGTGGTGAGCTGACAGGTACTTATGGCTCGATAAGCTCTCCAGGATATCCTGGTAACTATCCTGTAAACAGAGATTGTGTCTGGACCATCTCAACCAGTCCTGGCCTCCTCATCACATTTGCTTTTGGCACGCTAAGCCTAGAACACCATGAAAACTGCAGTTTTGACCATTTAGAGGTAAAGTATAATTGTGAATTATGACAACATTTTATGTTTATGTTATTGCAAAACAAGATATTTCAAAACTTTCTGTATGTACAGAAAGGGGCTGTGTGAAAGTTTAATCCTGTGTTGAAATGCTCATTTACATATTCCAGACATCCATGCACAGTCAGATACAGGCAGTATAACAGAAAGGGGTAGAAATCCTGCTCCACTGAAGTCAGTGAAGTCTTGTGAGTAGAAAGGATGGGATTCAGGCCAAATACCTGACGGGGAGCTTTCACTTTCTTACAAAGTTCAGTCTCCAATTTTCTTGTCAAATGTCAACCCCCAGAGAATTCATCAGCCTAAGGGAAACTAATCAAGAAAGTGATCTAAGTTTAATAGGTCCATATCACAGTATAGTCCATGACTTGATATGTGAGCTTAGGACTTTTTGTCAAGTGCGATGTAATGTTCACAGAATTCACCAATACCTATTCATGGAAATGAGAAGCTGTTTCGGAATAGCAAGTCCTGTTCAATGCAGAGCGTGATTTCTAGAAAAGAGTTCAAGAGTAGATATCCTGATACTTTTTTTCCCTTTCACAAAACCCTTGATGCATCATCACAGCTATGCTGGTGGATGTGTTTCTTGGTTCCTGTATGTTTGGAGGAAACTTCTTGTGAGCTTTCCCTCCACCTACCATCTACAATATCTCCCGGGGCCTCGAAGATAACTTAAGGAGTGTTGGTACTGTTCACAGTTGGCACACATCTAATAATCCTAACTGCTGATCTGTCATTCCATCTAGATTCGAGATGGTCTTCTTTCGCAAGACCCTGTCCTTGGTAAATACTGTAGCACTCAATCTCCACCCCCACTCAGAACCACTGGTCCCTATGCATGGATTCACTTTCACTCTGATGACTCGGTTACTGATAAAGGCTTCCACATTCTCTATACAACATCTCCTGGTAAGTAAAATTCAGCATTGAAGGTTGGTCTGTGACATTCTCAAGATAGAGCCAACAACACATGAATGGATGTAATTAACACTTGCTCTTTAATAAAATAGTAATTCTCTTTGATTTGCAGCTGTTGTACAGAAGCAGCCTGAAAAACAGTTACTGTACTTGTGAATATCTCAATTGATTATTTTTTTCTTAATATAGCAGATCCAAGTTGTGGAGGAAATTACACAGAGAGTGAAGGGGTTATCACATCCCCTTTCTGGCCTAACCCTTATATCAGCAGCCGACAATGTATCTACGTTATCCAACAGCCAGAGGATGAAAAAATATTCCTCAACTTCACCCATATGGAGCTGGAGAGTCATACTGGTTGTTCAGCAAACTATATAGAGGTGACTTCCCTTAATCAGTTGATATGAAAGGTTGATTACATGTGTGTACAAAACCACACATAACTTCCATCCCAAGGGCTACTGCAGAAATAGGTGTTAATCAAAGGAAAAAGTATACAAATTTATTAGAGTCCAAAAATCACAGGGGTTAAAAGAGCAGGGCTGTGCATTTGGAGTGAAGCAAAGATAAGAGAACGAGAAAATATGTCTCGCTTAACACTAATTCTTAATCAGCTGTATGTGATTAAGGTATATGCATGTCAAATGCAAGAAAAATAGCATTAATAGCCACAATGCAACATTTTGTGGTGTCATGATGTTACACAGAAGACATTGTTCTGATACTGAAAGGAAACACACCATATAAATTTTTATACCTACGTACATATATGTATGTCCATATCCAGGAAAATGGTTGAGTCACCATTCCTGGAGATGTTTAAAAAGATGTGTAGATGTAGCACGTAGGGAAATGGTTTAGTAGTGGGCTTGGCAGTCATGGGTTTATGGTTGGACTCAATGATTTAGAAGTCTTTTCCAACCTAAATGATTCTATATTCATATGTAAAGCCAAGAGTTTAGTGTTGCTATAACTGAAATCTTACAAGTCTAATTCAAGAATTCTTATTAGTCTAATTCTAAGTATTATAAAAAAATAATAGTACATTTAGAATGTTTCTATATGGCAAATGTAATAATAATACTATAGTAATGTCAGTACTAACTGAGATTCACTTGAGATGGCTTTTATGTTTGCTTTTACTCCTAACTCTCTCTTCAGTGGTCTGCAGCTTCATGTTACATACAATTTTATGACCACAGGGTGCCTTTTAAGTACAGAAGATACCACTTCTTCATTTTCTTTGTTATCCCTAAACCAACTTTTGCCCAGTTCCAAATCTGCATCCCCTAAGCTACCCATGGGGAAGGTGTGGCGTGGTGCTGCACAGGCCAGCATATCCCAGGGACTGGGGCTCCTCACAGAGGCAGAGCCAGGGCCATCCCACTGCCCTGGCCAGGGAGCAGGGCAGCCCCAGGCCTTGGACACCTCCCAGGGGATGGGGATGGACTGAGGCCAGGCTAGGACATGGGCATACAGGAGAGCCTGGCTCAGCAGAGCCTGTGGCTGGACAGGGCAGGGTTGTGGGGAGCCAGAGACTGGCCCAGCTGTGGGTTCACTGTGGCATCCCTGGGGGGCTGACATGGGGTCCTGGGCTGTGGGCAAGGCTGGCCTAGGGGAGTCATGGTGGTGCCCTCAGGGCCTGACAAACTCTGTATGTTGGTGGCCTCTGCCCCTTCTGTCACCCCGTCCCTGTTCTCCTCTGCACTGCACTCTGACTTGCCATGTCTCAAAGTATCTGCTGTCATACTCAGTGTGTATTTCTACATACAGTCAAAAATACCTCATCCCACACGGGATGGGTGCTGGGTACCACTGTCTGTATACAAACAGTGGCAGTGCCATGCACAGATTAACAGAAGTAGAAAATACTAGGCACAGACGCTGATTAATGAAGGTGCTGCTGCAGCTGAAGCAGGCGGGAGCCATCCCTGTGGCTCCAGCAGAGAGCAGGATCCAGTGCTGCTGGCCACGTGATCCAGCGCAGGTTTGGTTTTGTGTTTAATCTCCTCTTGACCAGTGAGGAACAGGCCCCTGTGAGCTCCGTGCTGTTAGTCTATTTTTAAAAGATGTTATTGTGCTGACATCGTTGCCTTCCATCCTCCTCTAATTCAAAGATCTTGGTTGGAATGAAGTGTAATTAGTTTCTGAAATGAGAGGGGAAGTGTGTTTAATGAAAACAGACAGCTTTTGTTTGTTTGGCCTGGTACTCCTCCTGCCTAATTGCTGGCAGAACAGCAGCTAAATTCACAGCAACCAGAGAAACAAAACCATTTCTGTTGATCGCCATCGGTTTGTATTAGTTCAGCAAGGCATTTACCTCACTGTTTGCTGATCAGTCACAAACTGTTCAGTTTCCCTCTTCTTCTGCCCTCCTCATCTTCCTGCCTTCCTACTCGGTGGCTCAGCCCAGAGCAGAGAAACAGGACCGACATTTTCTGGCTGGTACAGTCAGTACAACCGAAGTACTATGCTCTGTTATCAAGACCTAGTTTTTCACATATGCTTTTATAAAGTAGTGTCTCACTGGGTTTTATAGTGAAGTTTAGCTAGGGAGATAGATAGTTTTTGGGTGTTTAAGTTACTTTGTAAGTCACTCTCCAGCAATTCTTTTGTCATGTTGAAAAGGTGCAGATTATTCCCATCACTGGTGAAACCAGGAAACCTGTAGAATTTTCACAAGGCAGCTCACAGGTGCTTGCTCAAGGAGGGATGTTTAGTGTCTTACTAAGGAAGGAACAGGCTGGGACCAGATGTCTGCAATAAGAAAACAGAGACAATAAAACTTATTTAGGAAAGGCTGTAATATGGTGCAGAAGTAAGGTGTTAACCAAGACTGCTCCTTTTCCATGCTATCCTTCTAACTGGCAATAGGAGACATTACTCACATGGTTTAGAGAAGCTGTTATTTTTATCACTACTCACCAGGCTATATAAAACAAAAATGTAAGGAAAATCAGCTCGAGAAAAATATTTAAACTCCTGTGAATTATAGTTCTGGAAGCTTTCACTGCTGTCCAGAGATTTTCTAAATATTCCAGCGCAAATTCTCATCTTAGCTGCTCTGCTGTAAACCCAGAATAATTCTATCACCTTAAACTCAAATTCCAGAGAAATTAAAAATATCTGTTAGTCAGAAAACGATCTCACCAGCTTGAGACTGCCAAAGCTGGGCAAGCAGGCTAGCCACTGTCTGCTCACCAGGACTCCGATAAGTGTTCCTTGCCTTCTCTCCAGCCCATGGATGAATATAGCTGAGGAATAAAGAATTGATGATGAGAGAGGATCTGAAAGCTGTATGTCCCTGCTTTGCTAGTGGTTTCACTGGAATGATTTTTTGGCATTGACAGCATATGGATGCATTAAAAGCAGTTCCATCTACATGAGCTGCTCCCACTTTTATAGGAGAAAAGAGCTGTTTTGTTTACTGGAGAATCTTGGGGAGAAAAATTGCATTTATTGCTTGGGCAAAGAGCAGAGGACCTGTCTTTTGAACCTCATCTATTGGAATGAGACAGGCACCTCAGAGATATCCCAGTGCTCTGCCTGGTCCCCTGTTTGTACCTATGGACTAATGGACTATGGATTCACGGTCTGAAGTTTTGAAGTACAAACACCTCTTTCCCTTCTAGTCCCCTTGATAATCAGAATTTATATTCAACTTCAGGGAAAACATATAAGATACATTTCTCCTATGATTAGCAAATTAATTGAGGTGAGTAGAGTGGCAGTGCAGAAGGTAAAAGCTGGATCCCTGATACAGCTTCGTTGTCATTATCATGCATTGAACCCTTCAGATAAAGTAATGGAAAGACATCAGTGTATCTTCTTACTTTAGGGACTTAGAGTTGCATCTCCTGTTCGTGACCTGTCTGGCTGTAGTGATGTACGGGTGTGATGGAACAGATGCTTTTTCTGGAGGAATGCCATCGAAAAATCACTAGAAACTTCATGGCCAGAGCAAGAAAATCACAGATACTTTTTTTTCTCCAGCAGATTTTAGTGCTGGAAAAAATTTCATAGCTATCATTGGTGAGCATCTTGCCTGTCTCTTTCATACTAAAGATGTCACTTTTGGAAACATAGGCCCAAATTGTGGTTCGTAGAGAAGATCTGTTTCATCCTAATGCCCTGTGACAGCAGCATGTGTATGTCTTATGTGCTGATCATATGATCCTTCCTTTGAGCTCTCCTAAGTCCTGTGCATGTGCCAACTACTGTGATGGCTCTTTGACCCTCTTATAAATACATAAAATAGTTACTCCTTTTGTTTTTTAGCAGCTCTTGTGAGATTATAGTTTTATCTGGATATCAGATCCCAATGCTTGTATTAGCTAACATTTTTCTTTTTTCTTTTCCATGACTAGGTTCGAGATGGTGACAGTGAGACATCTTCTCTTATTAGCAAATTCTGTCATAGTACACTCATGTCTCCCATCACTTCTACCAGCAACAGTCTCTGGATCAAATTCAAGTCTGATGCTTCTGTGCAAAGAGCTAGCTTCAGAGCCGTTTATCAAGTTGGTAAGAGGAACTAGTGACTTTCACAGTGAACTGATCTGTAATTTGGACACTTTCCATCATTTCTGTGCTATATTATTCATATAATAGGTTTAAGATAAACTTCAAAAGAAAAGAAGTAAAAAAAACCAGAGTCAATTTATTTATTTAAGATGACATCTGCATTAGGTCTCTTGTAGACAGTCCTAGCGTGCTTGGAAGTGGGCACCTCATTGCTTCTGTTAATAATGAATTGCTTAGTGCTAACATACTGAAGATGATATAGCTACAACTCTGCCTAAACCTTTCTGCTTTCATTTTTCTTGTCTTTTACTTCTTAATCCCCAACAAACCTGTCTGTGTCTGTGAAACAAATGAGTCAAATCCTTTAGTTTTCATGGGCACATTCAGTGTCTTCTGTATATGCATGTTTATGCTATACTTATACTAATATGTTCTTTTAGATATGTTCCTTATGGTACTTAGGTGATCTGTAGTAGCTGCTGTAAGAAAATAGGGGTTTAGGGCTGTTTTTTTTTCTAATTTCATAGTGACATTTGATAGACATCACATGATACATCCCCTGAAACCATTCATCACAAGTACTGATTCTTGGTGTCTTTTGGCAGTCTGTGGAGGTTCCTTGTCTGGAGCAGGCACAATCCATTCACCTTACTATCCCAGGGTGTCCCCTCACCCGAAGATCTGTGAGTGGATCATCTCCCAGCCAGCTGGTCAAGTGGTGATTCTTAACTTTATCGACTTTGACATTCGAAATGCAACCACTTGTGACTCAGACTACGTTGAGGTAAAGAATAATACACATATACTATGAATAGTAGATACATAATCTGCGTGTTCCTTCTCCTACTCATCTCTACCAAAGCAGAACTGCTTGACAGGCAAGCACTCCTTGCAGCAGTCACAAAAGCTTTTCCAGCTTCATAACGGAATCCCAAAGCTTTTCTTGGTTCTCCAAAGATGTTGTGACCATATTGATAATCAGAGATAAGTATTATGTGTCTTTAAACAGATAGGCCTGATTTGGGAGGTTTATGTGCCAGTTACTATTGAGGGTGTGAGATCTCTTCTTTTCTCTGACATGCCTCTCTGATGGGCATAAGGTTGAATTGTATGGGCCTGTAGTAGAAAACACACTGAAGAAAGGGTAGGGTTGACTTACTAAGAATCTTTTGTAGAGTTCTTATGGATTAATTTATGCTTAATACTTGAATCTAATAGAAATTTCTAAGGGATATTTTGAATACACTTTTTTTCAGGTCAGAGATGGCAACAGTGGAGACTCTCCTGTTTTGGAGAAATACTGTGGTACAACTGTACCATCTACAGTGCAATCCACAGGGAACAACCTCTATATCAAATTCAGAGCTTCCTCTCTCACCAACCTTGGCTTCAGAGCTGAGTACTGGCCATTAGATACAGGTAAGGAATGTTCTGTTGTTTTCTGTGTTGAGTGTTGGGACTTGTCAAATTTTCCTGTACACTGAAAACAGTTGGACATCAAGTTTTATGACGGTGTAACGGGAGATAAATTCTGAATCAGTCACTATGTAGAATGGATCAAGGGAAAAAAAAATGTGACATTTCAGAAGAAAAGTAACCAATTTTATAAGTGCCTAACTTTTTTTATAAATATATCGTTTAACCTGATATTTTAAATCTCTGCAGTATGTGGTGAGACTCTCACTGGACCATCGGGAACCATTACAAGTCCTGGTCATCCAGATGTCTATCCACATGGTATTAACTGTACCTGGATTATCAACGTTCAACCCGGCTACCTTATCCGCCTGACATTTACTTCATTTAACTTGGAGTTTGATTATGGCTGCAGAAGAGATTATCTTGAAATATATGACAACAGCACCGTGCAAAAATTGGGAAGGTGAATATGTCTATTAGCCTACAAACCTGAATTGCTTTGGAGTGATCACTGTTCTGTAGATCTTGACATCCCATTTGCTTCCTCAGGTTTTGTGTATAGATTATTTTCTCTTAATTACAGAAATAATAGAAGCAATTTCTCTGCTAGGATAGTAAAGGCAGCTTGCTTTCTTTGACCATGGAATAAGAAGCACATTTAATAAATATTATACATTTATATATATTATATAAATATACTAAGTTGTGTCAAAAGGATAGCTTTCTTAAGGACGGGTTTCAATAGTGACATTTTCCAGCTCCATTAACATCTTGATTTATGGAAAATAAATTCAAAAACATTAATATATCTGTGCTCAGAAATGGCGTGATTTTAAACACTTGAAGAAGTGAAAGAAAGATTACCTAAAGGACTGTGCATTTGAATCTTGGCAAAAACTAAACCAAAATCTGCATTTTGTAGGGTTTAGTTTTCACTTTCTCCTGGATATGTGATTTTATCTTAAGGGAGAATCATTTCTTTTATTCCTCTTCTCCAATTGGTGTATACACAGCATTTTCTTGTTGCCCTCAAATTCAAGAACATCTGAATTACTTAGGAACAGTATCCAGCTGCAGCTACAGGCTGTAAAATAGTTGGCTGACATGACAGTATTTTGGAAAATAAGGAGCAAATGACTCTCCTAATGGTGAGCATTTTGCAACCTTAGTCTTTGGCCAGCCACTCTGACTCCTACAAAGAACAGAGTATGTTGTAGGTACAGCATAGTGTAATTCCAATAAGAATTTGACAACTTGATGAACAGTTTCTTCTCTGACTTTGCCAGACCTTAGATTTGTACCCTTATACATGTAGTGTGCTATTTCGTCCCATGATACAGGATATATAGCTGGGATCTGTATCGCTCAAAGGAGAGAACTCTGTGTGTGTAGCTGTTCAGACTTCTCAGAAAAGCTGAATCCTCTTCCAGAAATACAGATGCTTTATAAAGTATTGCCATTCAACTTGGGGTATCTTTTTGCTGCAGGTACTGTGGAAGATCAGTGCCACCATCTCTCACTAGTGGTGGCAACATGATGATGTTGTACTTTGTGACAGATCATAGAATGGCATCTGAGGGCTTCTCAGCTAATTATGTCTCCCTGAATGCATCAAAAGGTAATATGTCAGTCTGTTCATTATGCAAATTAAATGTATTCAGCTGTCAATGTAAATAACCACTACAAGAAACAGAAACTTTGTTTTCTGTGTTAACTGAAGACTGCCTGGTGCCTCTTCTACCCCTTCTTATTCATCCTGCTTTATTCAAAAGCTTCCTCCTTAGGAAAGCAGAAAGCAATTTCTGTAAGCAACACTGCTCCTTTCTTTAAAAAGGCAGTAAAAGCTGACATGGCAGAACTGCATGAATTATTTAGGAAAAGTATTTTCTGAATTTGCTTTGCTTTGTCCACTCTAAGCTGAGTATGTGTGATCTAGGAAACATAGTGATGATGGACAATTCACTTGAATGAGAGACTCTCAGGTGCCATAAAAAATTAATTTAGTCCCTATAAGGTTCAATATTGAGGATGGTTAGATAAAGGCCATATAGGATAAAATCTGATAAAGCAGAAAAATAACCTAAAAGCACAAGTGGTTTTTTTCATTACAACAGAGTGCAGCATTTCTGTCTCCACAAGAGTTCAAGTCTGTTATGCCTTAAATATCTTCTTTAAGTATCTTCTTCTAAGGGGCCAAGACATGCATCAGCGTGGTAAACAAAGAATGACTGTTCATTCTCTTGGTTCTCTTCTCTTTTGGAGAACAGGAGGAATTTCTTCACAGAAGGGGTGGGTAAGCATTGGAATGGACTACCTTGGGATTTGGTGGAGTCACAATCCCTGAAGGTGTTCAAGAAATGACTGGATGTGGCACTTAGTGCTATGGGAAATAGAGGGGCAGGTTCTGCCTAGCAGAATTAAGCCACGGAAGAGGCAGAGTGGGACAACGGAAAAAAAGTAAAAATGAGAATACTTTTTTAGCTAGGATGTTCATGTATCTATCAATAGCCAGTTTTTATGTTGTTTGCATGTGTGAGTGCAGAATATGAGGGATTTATTAGATGAATACCAGAAATTCATAGTACTCATCTATGCAGTCATAAATTACCACTGGCTGCTCATTGTTTGCTCTCAGTTCCTTCAATAATTCTATTTTTCCTAATCCCTGAATTTATTCAACCTGTTCAAAATCAGCAAAATTTCCAATTCCCACATTTTAAAAATAACTGCTTTCTTGGAAAATGTTGGCTATTATTTCATCTTTTAGCCTGTGTGTAGGCTAGACCAGCACAGATATTGCCATTGGGGTTTTATTCAGTACCAGATAACTTACAAATCCAAGTAAGCCACTTTCTCATCTGCCTTCATTTGTATTTGAGTTATCTGTCATGAAAACCAAAAAGACAGTACAAACAATTAAGATTTAATGAGAACTGTTTCAAAAGGGAAATTTCTATTTGCTAGAAAAAAATAGGCAAAAACCAAATTCTACTTTTAAAAATCTTTCCAAGAAAACTCTGTAGTTTGAAATCCAAGTTCTTACTAATGAGAAATTGTGAAATTGTCATCCTTATAAAGTCTGTTATAAACATGTGTTTGCATCTGCTAACTGTAACTTCTATAAATATTATTGTTGCTTGTTAATGTGGTATTTTTCCTTTTACTTTACCTCAGATTACTATTTCATGGGTGGATTTGATTCTTCCTAGATGTTCATATAGCAACTTCTCTCACAGTTCACCAAGATCAAAATATTCTTTACTCAACATTTATCTGTATTTTTGTCTTTGTGTAACCATATCTGTTTCTGTGGTTCTTTTATTTCAGTGCTGTCCAGCTTCACAGCTCTGCCTCCTCTCTTCTCTATATCCCCTCCTTAACCACCACCACGGTGATTGGCTTTTCTCATCTTTCATCCAAAGCACTGGTATATGTGTCATGTCAGGTTCAAACTGCATCACCACTGTCCTTGGAATGTATTTCAAACTGTGCCTTAAAAATGCATGTGTTCTTTCTCTTCAATGCTTCTAAACAACTACAAGCTATATAATATGTTTATATGAAATCAGCACTATGTAATATCTGAATCCAAACTCTACACAACACATCTGACTTTCTTTTCCCATCCTGAACACTTATCTTTACTTTTCTTCATCTAAATTGGGCTAACTCCCATTTTTTTTTCACTCTGACCTAGAATGATGATCTCTAGAATAAATGCTTTGTAATTTCATCCACTGTAGTTTGTATAAATATGGCAAAGCAGGAGATAGGTATTGAAATGGAGACTAATAAAGTTACAGAGAGGTTGAAACTATCATCTGTTTTCTTTACACAGATTTGTTTCTTTTGGTCTCAGAACAAGCATAGCAGTACTATAATGTTTTCATGTATACCAGACTGCTAAAATTAATTTTTTATTTAAGAATAAAGTGTTTTAAAGTTTCTATGGCCTGAGAGAAGGCAAACACAGGTATGTATGTGGACTTTGCTGTGAGAAGCAACTCCCCACTTCCCTGCAATCATATCAAATTTAGTTTTCCCACTGTGAGATGTTTAGGCCTGGTATTCATGTCATGTATATCCAGTTACACTAAGGTAGCAAATTACTGAACATAATCATATCTGAGAGATTTACCAAAACTATGATTTTTTTTTCTTTACATCTGCTGACTATTTTCATTTTTTCTTCTAAGGAAAATATGGTTCTAATAATGTTTCTTGTGCAATAAGAATCTTTCATATTTTTAAGTTATATTTTTGTAGCCAGCTAGACTGTAACCAATATCAGAACTTGTCAAAGATGTTCTGGTTCACATTACACATTTCAATAGTCTTTTGCCCGGAGTTATTTTAGAGAATGAGCTATTGAAAACATGGACAAGATTATCCTTCTCCCTCCCCCCAAATAAATATTTAAAAAAAAAAAAAAAGGATAAGTAGGGGTGAAATTTCTTTTGATGTAAAACAAAACTAATTTTCTTCTCCAGGCATTTTGGCAAACAATTAACGTGGTTTATCTGTGATATATTAATTACTTGAAAAGTAGCCTGAAAAGAATGGCAAAGCTATATTTCCTGTCAAAGTATTTGAATGCCATGAGATACAGCCATGGCCATGGTCCATAAAGTCCAAACAATTGTTTTAGCAGTCTGCCAGCTAGTAGCTGTGAATAGCTCATATGGCAGCAATACAGATGGAAATCCTTCAGTCAAACATGCCCACTTCATACTCAGTTGTTTAAAATGTGTATTGCCCACTTAAACTAAATCTACCTTGGATGGTTAATTCTTGGTCATCTTTCTGTCTTTAAAAGGGGAAAGTCAGATGGAAAGCAAGGTAATATTTCAATTTATTTCCAAGAGTCCAGATCATTCATATAAAGGAATGTCATGACAGCCATGAAAATGTTATGATAGATCATAGGATTTTCTTCTGCATGTCTTGGCTGACCACATCACAAAGATCCCATGTAAAATTACTGAAAAATCTTTGAAAGGGCTCAGTCTTTCCTGGAACTTTTGCTCAGGGTCCTGATAGATCCAGGCCACAATTTTCCAACAGGAATAGCACTGAAATCAGTGTATGGTTTTTTTTGTCCTCAACTTCTTCACAAATAAGTGGGAATTCATTTGTTTTACTTTGAATTGGGGGTTTGGCAGTGATTTTTTTTTCTCCTTTTTTTCCTATTTTTTTTATTTTCTAAAGATGCTTAATGTCATTCTTTCTGCTTGGAAAAGTGAACCTTAACAAGGTTTTTAGCAGATTGCCTTCCTGATACTTTTTATTCCTGGTCTGGCTTTGGTGAAAGATAATTGTCCTCATTATCATCCTGAATTGTGAATGATATTATTTATCAAGAGGGGTAAGCTGGTTTTAAATAGCTTCATGTATGGTTTATGTTAATTACAGTGACTGACTGGAGAAGTCAGAGTTTGAGAAGGATGGGGAGAGAGAAAAACATGTGAACTCAAGGACTTAAAAGTGTACCTGAAACCATTGTATAGATTTGTGTGTCTTCATTGATAGCTGAGTACAAGTCAAGATCCTCATTCCCATCTTGCTGACTAAACCCAGTAATTATTTGCAGTATGATGCCTGGCTTTGCTCTTCAGCTGAACGAGCAAAGACAAGAATGGAAAGTAATGTCTGACAAGTACGTATGTGCAGAGATGTACAGGGCATGGTTGAACGAGGCTGACCTAAGACAGAAAACAAAGCCAGCGTTCTACATGTGTCTTGGCCACTTGCTCAGCTCATTCTGACTCTCAGGAAAAAGGCTCAATTAGCTGGCATCTGGCAACTTGTTAGGCCACCGTAATTTGGTTATGTTTGATTAGGGTATTAGTCTGCCTATATATGCCAATATATGTGTATATAACTCTATAATTTGTCTATCTATGTGTAAATCAGCAGAAGACAGTTGGAGATTCTTTTTGAACAGTTCTACCCAGTGTTTCAAAGGAGTTTGGGTCTGAAACCCTATAAAGGACCTTTGTGTGCCTCCTTGGTAAAAAGTAAGCCTGTTCACATCTGTCAGCAGCAGTAACAGAAGGCCCTGAAGTGCAGAGGTGCTTTTCCATTGCCTTTGGAGAGGCATGTACTTCATGTGATAGTTTCTTCCTTTTTTTTCTAAACATGCATATTATTACATAAAGATCTAATTGTTAGGGATCCCAATTTTTCTTCAGCACAGAGAGTTTGAAAGAAAAATCCCATGTTACATAGAGCACTATAGCTTTATTTTTGATTAATTAAAATTGTGGCAACTGATGAATATCTCTTTATAGCAAAAACCACGGATATATTTTTCTGCATTATGCATGATTGCATGAGTGAGTGTTACAAAAGCTGGCATTTTTCTCTTCTATTGGCTATTACAGTGGGTTACTGCCATTTATGGCATTTTTTTCAGAAGAGCAAACACATTCAGTACCAAAATCAGAAAGCATATTGAATAGCTTTCAAAACCTCACACACTGGCAAAGCAAGATGTGTGATTGTCCGCCACAATTGCCTCCTTCTGTTTTTCATGAGCTACAATAAGTGTCTTCCAACTAAACTGAATTAATATTTTTTCCAGACATATAATAATCACACATAGTATTAGACTGCATTCTGAACTTTGGCAAGGGAGTCATAGAACATTTTTCCTGCTAACTTTGCTAAGTGTTCACTGAAGGAACTGCTCAAGCACCCCCCTTAAATGTTGTTAGTGAGGTGAGTGTCAGCTCTCTGCTGAAAGTAGAACACTATAAATTAATCCTGTTACTAGAAGAGAGTTGTCTGTCAAAAAACATAGATTCATTTAAACTTTTCTTAATCCCCATAGCAGCCAGCATACACACCATCTACACTTGGATTTATTTCTCTGTAGCCAGAAGTCTGACAGTCTGACATTTCTAAAGCAGTCACTTTTCTACGTTCTGCATTTATTCCCCCTTAGCTCATAAAGAATATTGTTATGTGAAGTGTTAAGCAGTGCACAGCATCCAGTTTAAAATGGTACACTTGGGATATAAGGTTCTGTATGGATTGCTCCTACGAAGGAAAAAAGTGAGGGAGGGAACCTGGAGAATTCTGTGGAAATTGTTATTGAAAGGGCTGATAGAAACATTTTGGCTTCTGTGTTCCTAATTTTACTGTAAGGGCCCTTACAGCACTAGTCACTGTTACTGATTATTAGTACTAGTTACTGATCTAGTACGTTTTAATATTCTCCAGGCTGAAATCTAGTATTCCTGGTCTCAGCCCCTGAGTGAATTAGTAAGGGCAATGTTCCAACAGCTCTAATCGTTAACTGTGCATGAGTCAGAGATTTACTCCTCCAAAATCAGGAGGAAATAATTAGTTAAAAATAAGTAACCTTATAAATATACAGACATTTCCTTTTTAATTTTGTATTGCTTTTTCTATAATGTTCTGTTAGGAAAAACTTGTGTCACATTTCTGAGTCAGATTTCTAACCCGGCAGGCAGCATTCTCAAGAAATCATAAGACTTAAGGATCTGGACTTTGATGATAAGTCCTACATATTATGAAACACCACAGAAGCTGGCAGGACAGCCAGGGTGTTATAAGGATTTATAAAGCAGCACAAGGTTTTTCAGGTGGTCAGGACTAACCTGTTTGTTATATGTGTACATTAGAGCATATCCGTGATGGACCACACAAATGACTAAAATTCTAGATAAAGACTTTAGCAGATTGTGATTTTAGGTACACTGATGCATGAAACCTTTTTGACTTGTAAATACCAAAGTACAGCCTAATGGCAGAAAATTATTGACCTCTTTCTGTGTAATGTTTCTTTGTTCTCCTTGTGATGAATTAGGAACATGAGTCTGGTACCTAGCTTTCGAGTATTTATCCCACAGAAAATGTTTTCAACAGAGGCCTTTCAGGTGACCAAGAGTACAGAAAAAAACACCATTAAAAAAGACACAATTAAAAGTGAAAATGTAGTAGTAGAATGGATAGAGAACAGACATAGAAATGACCAACCTTAAACAAAAAAAGGCCTGAACTGTGACTTCACCCCTTCCCCCTAAACTGTTATGCAATTGAAGAGTTAAGCATAAGTATTACTACACTGCAGCTGTGATATGTTAGAAAACAGATTTCAGAGATCTGTGGCAACCAGCTTAAATGAGTATACTTAACCATAATATTTTTCTTGCTCTTTCAGTTGTGCTTATGATTAGACTAAACCTGCCTATTTGATAGGAACTATTTAAGAAATCTACTTCTTATACTTGCAACCTGTAGGACTCGAAATGGGGGAATGGAAGACCGGAGTGAATCTCCAGGGTCATCAAATACAGACCACAATTTTATGCCCCCCTCTTTTTTTTTTTCCCCAAGAGCTACATAATGTGAGCCCCTTCTTAAATTAATCAAACTGTATCTTAAAAACCTGTGGACTTTTTTCCTCCCTTCTATATCTGTTATATTGGCTGCATAATTGCTCTAGAAACTCACTTCCTGATAGAAACTTTTTCCTAATTTCTGTGTATCCGTATTCATAGACATTTTTTAGCTTCAGAGCTTGTACTGTCACTGAGAATGTGTTTTATTTTTCTTTTCTTCATGCTTGTTGATGTTTATCTGCACTTGCTAAGCTAGACAAGGTAAGCTCTTCTAGTGTCTCTTGCCTACCAATCTAGTAATGTCCTGCTATCTCCACAATCACTGTCTTGCTTGTTCATATATGATTTTCCAGAACATCAGTGACCATGTTTATCCACATTTTTCCAGGTGAAATGTCACCATTACCTTGTGCATTGGCATCAGGATTCTGTTTTGCCTGAGAATACCTGACACAGTTCACATTTCTTCTTGCCATTTTTGCAGCCACATGACAAACTTTGCTCGTTGACTGTGATCAACTGATAGACAACAATTCTTCTTTCCAAAACAAGTATTATGTATTATTATGTAGCAAATATTTTTATTCCTAGTCCTTATGTACATGCTTTCAAAACAGCTTCTTTTAAATTACTATTTAGGTTCTGACTCAGCATTAGTCCAAACTCTTTTCTTTTTTCCAGCTCATAATACCAAGGTGCTTCTACATTGCTCACAAAAATATTAGTGCAGTTGATTTCAGTATAGAACCTTAAGAGGAACTACTTTGTCCTCAAATTCTTAGGATTATACGGCTTTCCAACTGCTTATCACTTTTGGCCCCAAAAATGGAAAAAGAAATTTAGATATAAAATTCCATCTGCCAGGTTTGATCATGGGGAACGCTTGAGAACAATGTAGTATTTCCTCATAGCTAGACACTAGATTCAGTTTCCACCACCACATCTTTTCAGAAATTCAGGAATCCTACCTTTTTTGTTCAACAAAACATCCCTTTCAGTTTCCTCTCTCTACTTACCTGGGTTTTGGGACAAAGCCAACTTAGGCAGCTGAAACTGCTCTTATGTTGCCTATTTATTACAGACACAGTGTTCTGGTAAAAGCCAAACAAATCAACTCAAATGTAAGAAATCCCATGAAACACCTGGATTCTGGTTTTAGTTTATAGTGTTGATGTTCAGCAGTAAGATGTGTCCAGGAACAGTTATAGTGCTCAGGATGTTTGCTCCTCTCTCTGTTGAAAATAGAAATTTCCTGTTAATTTAGAATACATGTTAAATTAATTCATCCTTGTTTCCTTTCTTTTTAAAGTTTGCTCACACAACTACAGTTCTGAAGTTGGAGTGCTAACATCTCCCAACTATCCCAATAACTACCCTGTCCGGACTGAGTGCATATACACCATCACAGTGGGAATGAACAGACAGATTGTGCTCAACTTCACCGACTTCATCTTGGAAGGGAATAAACGCTGTACAGAGGATTATGTAGAAATCAGGCAAGGCTAATTATTTCTCTTGTTCTTATTACTGATAACCATGTCAATTGTCCAAATCCCCTTAGGCATGTTCGCAAGCTTTAATTTTAACTCTACACCTATGCTGTCAATGTGGGAAAGGACTTAGCAGAGAACTTAAAAGGCTACCTTTTTCCTCCTCTCATCCTGCTCCATTGTCAGCTTTCCCATTTGATGAATTACAATTCTGAGAGCAAATGGAGTATGTGAACTGTGTTCCCATGCACTGCATTTGGGTTGTTTTCCTTAGTGCAGAAACAAAGAGTTTTATTGCCTGTTTTGTGACGTATTCTCTATGGTATTTGAAAAGTCATGGTAGTCAAGTGAAGTCCCAGGTGACTGGAAAAGGGGAAACATTGTACCCATTTTTTAAAATGGTAGAAAAGAGGACCCTGGGAACTACCGACCTGTCAGCCTTACCCCTGTGCCTGGGAAGATCATGGAACAAATCCTACTAGAAGCTATGCTAAGGCACATGGAGGACAGGAAGATGAATTGAGACAGCTAGCATGTTTTCTATAAGGGCATTCTTAACCAACCTAGTGGCCTTCTATGATGGAGTGACTTCATCAGTGGATGAGTGACGTGAGCCTGTGTGGTCTTCTGCAAAGCCTTTGACACTGTCCCCCACAACAGTCTTCTCTCTAAATTGGAGAGAAATTGATTTGATGGGTGGATGGTTCAGAAGATGAGGAATTGGTTGGATTGTCACATCCAGAGTGTAGTAGTCAATGGCTTGATGTGCAGATGGAGATTGCTGACAAGTGGTGTCCCTCAGGGTCTATACTGGGACCAGTGTTATTTAATATCTTAATTAATGATATAGATGAAGGGGCTGAGTGAACCCTCAGCAAATTTGCAGATGACAGTAGGCTGAGAGGTGCAGTTGACACACCTGAAGGACGGGATGCCATCCAGAGGAACCTGGACAAACTTGACAGTGGGCCCATGTGAACCTCATAACATTCAACAAGGCCAAGTGCAAGGTCTGTAGCAAGATCCTGCTCCTGGGTTGGAGCAACTCCCAGTATCAATACAGGCTGGGGAATGAATGGATCAAGAGAAGCTCTGGAAAGGACTTACAGGTGCTGGTGGATGAAAAATTGGACATGACCTGGCAACGTGCACTTGCAGCCCAAAGAGCCAACCATATCCTGGGCTGCATCAAAAGGGTCAAGGGAGGTGATTCTGCCCCTCTACTCTGCTCTGGTGAGATCCCACATGGAATACTCCATCAGCTCTGGGGCCCCCAACATAAGAAGGGCATGGACCTGTTGGAACAAGTCCACAGGAGAGCTGTGGAGACAATCAGAGGGCTGGAGCATTCTCATATGAAGAAGGGCTGAGAGAGTTTGGGTTGTTCAGAAGTAATTTTTTACAATTGGGGTGGTGAAGCACTGGAACAGGTTGCCCAGAGAGTTGGCGGATGCCCTATCCCTGGAAACATTCAAGGTCAGGCTGGACAAGGCTCTGAGCAGGCTGATCTAGTTGAAGCTGTCCCTGCTTATTGCAGGCGGGGTAGTACAGATGACCTGTAAGGTCCCTTCCAACCTAAATTATTATATGATTTATGATTCTATATTCTGTTGTATGTTTATAGTCTTTAGACAGCAGCTACTCTGGGATGTAACACAAGGAACATGTACATAATCTGCTATTTTTGTCTACACTGGCATCACCATTAAATTTAGGACACTAGCCCAGTGCTTTCTAGGAAATTTTGCAGGACAGAGACAAGCAGAAGAAATGCAGGAAGGTTGCCTGCATGCCTACAATACAGCAGCACCAAGTACATGTCCTTTCCACCGTGTAGCTGTAGATGGGATTTGCACTTTGCAGTGTCACCATTTTTGTCCTCATGAGCCAGCTCTTTGGGTGAACCATGTCTGCAGAATTCTCGTGTGTTTTTTCACTCTGAGCATGCCATGAGTTTCCATTACCTCATTGAGCACCATGATAAAGCTGATTCTGAACATTATACCAGATACTCTGTATGAATTATTCCTTGGTAAGTAGTGCCTTATTTTTTAAAACCAAACAAAAATCTGCTTGCTGAAGTTGCAGTATTGAGGTTCTGAATTCCAACTATGGGTTTTTTTTCAGCTGTACATACAAACTGGAGAAATCTATGAAAACCTGAAAAGCTTTTTCAATATTTTCTAAGTAAAGTGTTTTATTTTTTAGGTTTTAAAACAACAATCTGAGATTAAATTTAATTTAACTTTATTAACACTAATTTGAGGCAACCTGGATTGTAACAGGGGTGACCTTTTTTCACTTTTTCACCTCGAGAACTGAAAACATTCATTTATTGCATAAATCTAACTCTTTCTTCACTGTGAAGAGCTCAGCAGTATTAAACAGATTTTAAAATGCAGCCAGAACATTGCTAAGTGCAATTCAGCACATTGTTGCTGCCATAACTGGATTTCCAGAGTGTCTCATCAAACCTGATACCATTAAAAGGGGAAGCTAGATAAGTATTAGGTGAAGTGTCACTTTGGTTTCTTGTCCTGAGATATCCTCTGATAAACTGCATTCAGTCAGCTAAGAAAATTGTTCATCTGACCCCAGCTGCAGAGGCTGAGATGCAAGTGAGGGGAGGTTCTGGCACAGTTCTTCAACTGCGAGTAACATGAGCAAGCAGTTTAACCTACGAGGATGACAAGAAAACAGTGCCAAGGTCTAAGTAGAAGTTTCACTCAAAAGCAGGTATAAATCTGTCAAAATGTAATTAAAAGTATTGCTGTCACTTAAAAAGCATCATATCAAGATCACACCCATATATAGATATAAGTGTATTTATTATTGTCCTAATTACCTGTAGGGTGTTTGTAGTATGAAAGTGTTTAAAGATAAGGTTAGAAAGCAATAGATAAACACATTATCACCGTCTTTTTTATTCCCATGAGAGATGTGCAGCAGGTAAAACAGAACATTAACTGTGCATCCTGATTACAGTATTAAAAAATATTACTAGAAGTATTACTTAATTTAAAAATAAGAAACTAAGTGGTTGTACAAACAATTTTGAAGACTAAGAAGATATTTCAAAATGCACATCATATCAGTAAAATGACTTCAGAAATGAATTCCCATTTGTGTGGTTGCAAATAAACTTTTTTTTTTTTAATAAGTCAACTTATCTAGTTTTGCACCAGGCTAACCAGTGAGCAGTGAAACTGTTGTTTCAAATTAGAGGATTACCTTTGGTTGCACCTAGTAGAATACAGAGCAAGTCCTACCCTCTGCAGAACCAACTTTACCTGAGACACTTCTTGAGCCTGTTATTGTGTTGACGCCCTCTGGACAGGCTGCTCAGATGAGAGAGTGACATACCCAGCAAGCAGGTGTTTGTGTTAGGGCTTCTTACTGCAAGTAGCAGGAATCCTCTAGTATTTAGTAGTGATATTGCTGTGGAAGATGAAGAGCCAGGATTGGGCTTTCCCAGGCTTGAGAGAATCCCAGTATTTTGGATTTGTTAACATTTCTCATGGTTTCCCTCTTTGACCCAAGGTTTTTATTTTCTGTCATTCTAGAGATGGAGGCTATGAAACTTCTCCTCCTCTTGGAAAATACTGTGGTACAGACCTGCCTCCTATTATAATCTCTCATGGTAACAAGCTGTGGATAAAGTTTGTAAGTGATGTATTTGGCACCAGAAAGGGATTTTCAGCAGAGTGGGATGGTACAGCAGCAGGTAAAATTACTGCATCAAGTACAGAACTATTTTACACATCTCATTTTTGATCCTTTGGGTTTAATTTCTCACCTTTTCCCCCAAATCTTTTCTGCTTCCCATCTTCTAAAATCTGTCCTCTAATTATGTAGCAACATATACACACGTTAACCTAAAGGATCCAACTTTCTTGATCTTTGTGCTTTCTTTTTCACTACAGGGAAGGACATACTATTTATTTGATAAAATGTTGCATCATTTATCTCATATGTTTAGGAAAGTGGTAATCAAGAATTTAATTGAGAGGTTTCTATTTGAAGGTTAACTGCTTATCAGAAGCACTTTTCAAATTAGATAGTTAATATTTCTTTGTGCTATGGGCACTCTTCTGCTTAAAATGCTGATGGCTAGATGTGGATTTTTGGGGCATCACTGAAGATGTTCAGAGCATGTGAAGGAGATCAGTAGTGAGAATCTCACACATCATGTCTAGTTCTCTACTATTCTAGATGTTAAGTGTTGGTTTGGTTTCTTTACCATTTTCAGGTTGTGGTGGGACTTTGATGACAGCTTCTGGCATCTTCATGTCTCCCAACTACCCCATGCCATATTACCACAATTCAGAGTGCTACTGGTTCCTCAGAGGAAGCCGAGGAAGCCCTTTTGAAATCCAGTTTGAGCAGTTTCATCTAGAGTATCACCCGAGGTGCACCTTCGATTACCTTGCGGTAGGTACCCCGTGATGCTTTGCTCTATAAGGGGGGTATGATGAGCACACAGGCAAGGGAAAACACAGAGCCTTGGGTTTCAAGTGTTACTGGGTGAACAAACCCAGAATAGAAAAGCTCCTTGCTGATATGCTACCTTCATATCACAGAGCTGTGAGAGGCAAGGCAGCGGTGTTTGTGTAGCTGCTGGTAAGAGAAGCATTTATGTCTAGATAGAAAGGCCACTGAAACGAGAATCAGTCTATATCTTTTAAATTTGCTGTGTTTTGAACAAAGGATTTAGTATGCTTTCTTAGTAAATTACATGGAAAAAACCACAACTGTGTCAATAACCCTATTGTTAATTCCAAATTTCATATTTGAACTGTTGCATAAATTATTTGAATATTTTTAATAAAGTTGAAATGGAGTGAAGGTTTCCCCTCTTGGTGAGCAAGCCCCTCAAAACCCACTGGTATTCAGTTACTGGCTTTCTGTTTTTCCACTGATTTGTTTGTTTCTGAAATGCCTGTCAGGCTTCCTCTGCACAGGAATAGAATTTAACCTCTTGTATACCCAGTAACAATTCCCTAAGCAGACATTTCACAGTGGGAAATTACTTTGGTTTGTAATGCCATCAGCTTTATTCTATTTATTTTTTTAATTTTTTTAGGTATATGATGGCAACAGCAGTAATGCTAGACAGCTAGGTAAATTTTGTGGGAATCAGATACCAGAACTCATCCATTCCAGTGGAGACAGCGTGTATGTAAAACTAAGGACAGACAACAGTCTGCAAGGTGGAGGTTTCTTAGCCAAATACAAACAGGGTAAGTAAGTAAAAGAAGATGAGAACAAGTTTCAACAGTTCATATTGTTCATGAAACTTTTTGCAGCCCATGATCTTACCTATTCATGAGCAGAGGACAATGTGTACAGCATACTACTGACCCAGATTCTCTAGTCTGCTACAGTTATAGAACAGAGAGCTAAAAGTTATCTGCCCATCTCCTTATGATGGAGTTCATCTCCTCCTTTAGAGAAAGCTGGTGAGGTGTCTCTACTTTTATTACCTCTACCAGTGGCACTTACCACTCCAGATTTACTCAGAATAACAAGTGCTGGAAGTCCATAACAGGGTAGATTGGACTGTTCTTTCTGTTCTGCTCATCCAGTCTCTTGACTTTTAAACAGAGAAGGCAGATACAGCAAGCTTCTCTGATTTTCTAGCTTCTTGTGAGGCAGGATGACAAAGGATAATTGAGTTCCTGTCAGCCATCCTGCATCATTGTAGGTGCTTGGGATAAGTTAGCCTACCTGGAACACTTAAAAAGGTTTCATTTTTTATATCTTGGGGTAAGGGTCATACTTTTCTTGCAAACACTTTTTTGTAAAGTAGTTCTACCCCAGAAATATCAGAATAATAACATTTGGAGAAAAAATCCAAGAAGACACATGACAAATTGAATTTATTTTATTCACAGTCTTAATCTTGAATATAGTACCAGTATTTATTTTTCTCCTTATACACTTTATACTTTTTATATGGTTAAATGCACATTGGAAGATACATAACTTCACTGCATACAAAATGATTTGCAAGCATCTTTGTGCACCCTAAATATGACATGCCCAAGTGATAGGGATTGCTGTAGGTTTACAGACATTTAGTTGGACAGTAGTAAATGCATTACAAAAAAAACAAAGCTATTCATCCTCACATGACACATACAATAACTAGAAGAGTGGGGAAGCTTTGGCTCCCTAATTCCTTACAGATATCACAGAGTCATCTAGCATGTACTTTTCAGACTGCAATGTCAAGAAGATATATTGGAAGAGGTTTCCCCTCCCTTTCATTAATTAAACAGAAAGAGCACTTTCAAAGCACTCAGATGAAGAACCTGAGCTATCAGATAATATGATTTACATTCATATTTAATTCTGAAGATGAATCAGAGAAGGCTTTTAATGGCAATGGCTTGCCCAAATGCTAAAATTATGTAGGCGGTATGGTGTAAAATAAGGATGCCAGATACATTTACATGTACATGAAAGAAATGTAATGATGAATTGAAAAACATTGCAAAGGAAAACATGGTATCAAGTTAACATTCAAAGGCACCTTTGTGCTTGATATGTTTCTAATAAGATCTTGGTGGCAGGGGGTAGCAAATTTTACCCATCTTGCATTCTTCAAAATCCATTTTGTGCTCTTCATTCTGTCCTTTCAGAGTTGTTGCTTCAGTGTAACTTTGCAGACAAGCTCCTCTTCACCTGACCCTGACCTTCAGCTGTATCCCAAGCATTTCAAAGTACTAAAAACACAGACCTTGCTGCTCTTTATATGTTTGGAAAGAATAAAAAATGTGCAGGAGGCAGGTGTGCTACCCTTGATGACAGGCAATAGGACAGTTATGCAAGTGAATTTCAGCCATTTCTGCTGTTCAAACAGATTTGCTGTACAAAGCAAAGAACCTGTCCCACTCCTCTCCTGCTGCCAACTTCTCTGTGCATTACACTGCTCTGCTCCTGATGCACATCACGTGCTGCTTCCAGACAAGGGAGTGCCCACACTGATGTTTTCTGTCTTTAGGGAAAGGTGAATACAGGAAAATGAGACTCACTGACCTGATGCCATAATTGTAATTTTCTTCTTTATCTAGTTTAGTTTATTTTTATTTTCTTGACACTTCAAGAAAAGCTGTTATTATTCCAGATGAGTGTCCAGTTCCTATGCTAGGATTCTATTAGATGTCTCACAAGAAAAATCATGGTTCCTTTTTTAAAAAAATTCACAATAGCTTCCTGTTCCTGGAGCCAGAAAGCCCAATACTAGTAGTGTACTCTCCATTCGTTGTTTAAGCCAGGTTTATAATTTTTTCCTAGTTTGCTGAAATAACCTACTTCAATCTATTAGTTCATCTTTGTTAAGCACCCTCCCCAAATTGTTTCAAATGACAGGGCAAATTTCTGCCATTATCTATCAGAATGTGTTTCAGGAATAACCAGAATTAAAGAAAACTGCCAAAAGTATATGTACTATATATACTGATGAGGCTGCAAGTTTCAGAAAAGAAGGTCATAATAGAGCCGAAGGATTCAAGTCTGGATTTTGTTTGAAACATAAATATATTCTTCAACAGGTCACAATTCTCTTTCTATATGACTTCTCTAATCTGAATAAAATTATTTCTCACCTTGTAATACTATCAATTAACTTCAATTTGTAGTTTTTTGAGTTATTGGATCGCTGCACAAATATGATCTGTTATCACTTCTTTTTCAGTTTGCCATGAAGTACTGACTGTTAATCGTAGCCATGGCATATTGGAAAGTTTAAATTATCCAAATAATTACCCATTAAATGAGCACTGTAGCTGGACTGTCCAAACTACCACAGGGAACACTCTCAACTATAGCTTCACGGCCTTTGATTTAGAAGTTGGATTGGACTGTGATCGTGACTTCTTGAAGGTAAGTAGAAACAAGAAAAATCAGGTCTCCACCAATAAAGGAAAATAATAAGGATGCAGAAGGGCAAGGGGAAATTTATTGTATCTAAATTTAACCGCTGAAGCTCAAGTGTTAAATCCAAATGATTTGGTCCTGTTTCCTCTGTAATCAGTAGGGAGAGAAGCATTACTGCCTCAAGACAGGTCTGTGCAAATGGGAGGATGAATCCCAAATCCTTGGTTTGCTACAGTCTAGCTACCACCTGAGATTAGATGCACTGGCTTTTATGGGTGAAGTGAGATATCATGATTCCAGCTTCATGTAAAGAAGAAGAAATCCTGGGATTAGTAAATTAATTGCAAAAAGGCAATGAGCCCAATTATTTTCTTCTTGTTTTTATCTGAGAAGGAGCAGGGTAGGTTCAAAAACTTTAATATGTATTATTTCTACATTTTTAAAGGGAGGGTTGCTGTGTCTCCTATTTATATTTTTCTTTTCATAATTCATCTGCCTCTTTAAAGGGACTGAAAGAAAATTAAGGTATCCACAAATAAAATGTGACATTTTTTAGCCAAATAATGCCATCCAGTCAACTTAAAGCCAAATACCCTTAATTTTCATTTCCTTAAAAAAAAAAATATCTCTAAGACAAAGAGGATATTTTCTTAAAATTTTCAAGGACAACTTAAAAGATATTTTCTCCCAATTTTGTTCTTAGTACTGTGGGAAGTAGAGTGTAGTCATGATCACTGCTATACTGTTATAATCTCCTGTCTACTCTTTTGCTGTTTTGCTGAACTCATCCGTCCTTCAGATCTCACCCTTGTACAGGATGCCAGCCTGTAGCTGCTGTGCTCTATTTAGGTTTTTGCGCTAGAGGAGCCGAAATTTAGAGAAGTGTTAGAAAGACTACTTACAACCAGGAAGAGGGCTATGGAATAGTGCCCATGTTTCTGGGGATACTTACTTACACTGGGGTCTTGCAGAAGATTCAGCAACAGGCCTGCTGATGGGCTAGTCTGTTCCATCTAGATGTCCTCCCTCGTTCCCTCTACCTCCCTACTATGGCAGCTGTCACAGCTCAAAATTGGTAATAAACTGGCAAAAGTGATGTTCTTCAAGCTTTCTTCTCTTTGTGGCCAGGAACAGTAAGAAAGAACAGACATGTGAAGAAAATAAATAAGGGAGCACTACACTGAGAACTAACTATTAAACCCCAGTTTGTTTTTGTGAGGAGACTGAAAAAGAAACATTGGAACCAGTGCCAGTCTCAAGATGCCTGAGCCCTTGACCCATGAAAAGCAGGAGCTCTGCACACAGTAGCCAGCCAGTGAGGAGCAAGAAACTTGCCAGAAGACACTATTCTAGATGTAAGTCAAGGCTGGAAGAATAATGCCAGAGGCAAGGACCTGATCCAAAGCACTTAAAAGAACAGAAATAAAACATATCTGAGGGAGTGAGGAGACAGGGAGCACTCTTTGTTTTAACAACTTTTCAGTGCTTTCAATCAAAGAAAATACAGACTGAAAGAGGCATAAAGAGGAAAATACAAGGGGAAAAGAGAATCATGGAAGTGTGTTAAGGAGGCTTTAATTTGTCATTCGTGTGACATTACTTACAAATCTTTCTCCAAATGCCATTAGGAAATACCACTTGGAAAAGACGTTCTCATTTGGTTGTTGCATGCTGCACAAATATGTGCCATAGTGTAAAAAGGAGAACAAGGGTTGAACCAGCCAGGGAACTGAACACTGTTTGCTCCCACCCTGCATCTTGCGAAAGGGGAGCATATTGTCAAGGCTGGGAGCGCTGTGTGGTGTAAGGGAAAGGGGGAGTCATCTGGAACAAGTGTACAGTTCACTTTCTGAGCAGACTGCAGATATTTGGGACTTTTCTGATTGAAATCCATGTGGAGTCTGACACCACTGCAGATTGGAAAAAAGGTTATTTAAAAGAAACCTCATAGCTGTTTAGCTAAAATAGATTACTTTACTGACACATGCTAGTTCTGAGATTCCTTTATTGCAAAGAGGCCTTAGAGGGGAGAGATCTAATGGTCTGGCTGAGTATAATAGAAATATAATCCTGTTCACTGTAGTCTGAGTGATACATGGAACATATGCCAGAACCCTTCACCATTTTCTTGAAGGAAATGGGAAGCTGATGCTCAGAGAGTTTCCATATAGCTGCACTCACAAACCAGAGTGGCCACTAGTGCTGATCAAGTGCTCTTTTCCCAGGGAGCTTTTAGATGTCCCTTTTCCCACCTCCTTTTGGATTTGGTGGCAGCAGCTCTGCCACCTCAGCCTCTTGCAGCAGGCAGCAGCACCCTATTTGTCTTCTTACCTCTGTGGCAGTTCTGACAGTAGCAACATGGTGCTCTGTGGCACCTAGCAGATGGCAGGCTTGGTGACAACATTTGCTCCTACTTGCTGGGAGGCTGGGAATAGGAAGGACAAGAGTTAGTTTTTAGGTTGGATTAGGTAATGATCACAGTTGTACTGGTAGAAGGAGTAAGGGAGGGTTGTACATGATGGAAAAGGACAAAATTAAATGTTGTGGAGGTGTTATGGCAGGGACATTACATGCCTTAGCAGATTACAATCAAGAAATGGCAGTCGCAAAAAAAAAAAAAAAA